GCACTGCTTTATGCAGTAAATTCTGCAGGCTACTATTAAACAATGGGAAAAGAAGGGGAGAAAATAAACTTGAGGTCATGGAAAATGCAGCCAGAGGAGGTGTATGTATGTAAGTGTGTGTGTGTGTGTGTGTGTGTGTGTGTTCTTAAAATTAACTACTTTTCTGTGCCTGACAATAGGGTGGTGTGTGTGCACAGGCCACAGGCATGTGTGTGCATGTGTGTACACGTGTGTGCAGGGGCATGGTCAGTGAGTCCCCCTTAGTGGTTATGGGCAGCAAATGCTGATGTTTTAAGCAGTTAGAGGAGAATGGAAGAAGCTCGGCTCCCTCTTCCTCCCCATTATTTGTCCCCCCATCGCCTCCTTTGCTCCTTTGAAGCTGCTAAAGATTCCTCACTGTTAACACTCAAGTTCACTCTCCTCCCGGAGACACCTTCCCAGGCGAGGGCACTGCGACTACACGGAGGTTCGGCCCACTCCTGGGCCGCTTCTTAGCCGGGTGGTGAAAGCAAAAATGCCGCCTAATTGGTCACTGGCCCTTTCTCATGAATGAAGGAGGTTTCTGTTTTAAGAAATAAAGTGACTCCTCAGCCGTTGATTCACTGCCCACAGGGAGATTTTGAGCAGAGGCTTCCTAGGCTCCGTAGAAATTTGCATACAGCTTCCACTTCCTGCTTCAGAGCCTGTTCTTCTACTTACCTGGGCCCGGAGAGGGTGGAGGGAGGCCGAGGGCGACCCAAGGTGGAGAGAGACGAGTAGCTGCGGAGAGCCGACCACCCCCCGGGCCCGGTCTGTCTGTCCGTGGTGGTTCTAAGGTAAGTTATTCGGAGTTGTCACTTGCCTGGTCTTATTTCTTCACCACTGACCTATTTTCCAAAACACGCTGTTTCTCCTTTACTGAAATGTTCTGCCTCTACCTTCCTCTGTCTTGCTCTCCCCTCCTTTACCTCGACTGCACAGAGACCATCTTAGCTGAGAAATTGACAGCTAAGAAGTTGGGTGTGTTGCTGGTATAGTATTTCAGGCCCTAGCGCCCCGCCGGGTTAACCCTTTGAGGAGAGGAGGTCCGCACGCAGGACAGCTCGGAGCTGCCTGGGGACACTTCGTGTGGGTACTTAGTGTCCCCACAAGTTTCCACTAAGAATTCAAGCCCTACTTCTCCAGCCAGGGATGGCAAAGATTAAGTAATTGGTTTTCAGCCCCAGAACACGTCAGTGGCAGAGTTTTCTCGATCCCTGTTTCGTGAGGGGGGCGGGGGTGGGGACCAACAGCGCATTCTTGGGCCAGGAAGTTCTGCGGAGTCGTGTGCTGGCTGTGAGCCGCCTCCCGGGCCCTCTCCGCAGCCGTCCTCCAGCCCTCCCAGGCTGGCGCTCCGCGGAGCCTTTGGGAACAAGGGGGAGAAATGCCAGTACTTGATCTTCGAAGCTAATCACGCTTCTTGTGACTTTCAAGTTCAAGATGGTATCTTAGAATAGGTTGTTTTTTTTTTTTTTTTTTTTTTTTTTTTTTTTTTTTTTTTTTTTTTTTTTTTTTTGAACAGGAGAACAAGATGCCAAATAATTTTTTAAAAACACAAGAAACTTGGTTCCCTGTCCTTCACTTCTTGTGGTTCTATGACTGAGGCAATTCAGTCTGACTCCCCTAGGTCTGGATTTCTTCATCAGTAAATTGATGGGGGGTGGTGAACTAACATAAGTGAGTCAAATTCCCTTATAAAACAAAGCCAGCATAGTCTCATAGGGGTAGCGGTAATGGGTGGTCTTCGAGACTTGTTTTGTTTACTGGTTATTCACATATTTTAATTTTACCTCCCACTATCCGTTGGTAAGCCCCTTGAGGAAAAGGACTTTGTTTCCTCATAGGTTTCTACCCCCTGGAATCCAGCATGCTACCAAATGCTTGGTAGGTGCTCGAGTCTCTTCCATGGCAGCTGCTTTGAATTAGAGGTAAAGTAGCAGGGTGAGAGGCTGGGGGACACGTGGCTCTGCGGGAGAGCTGCCTGGAATTAAGGCCTTATTATTGGCTCTAGCCAAATAGGAGAAAACAGGGAGTTTCTCGAATTAGTTCATATTCCATTTGGGTTACCTAGGAAGGATCATCGTGCTATATTGCCCACAGAGTCAAGGCAGGCCAGAGAACTGGCAGACAAGCCCAGCTCCAGAAGCCAGAGTTACTGCTGTAGCTGGACCAGTCACTGTGTGTGGGGCCTTTAATGGGAGGGGAAGGGAAATTGTGAAACACATCCTAATACCATGTAAGGGTGATGACTGTGATTAGACACATTATTAGATGGCGGATACACAGAATCCTTAACCTTTTCCAGACCCTGACTTAAAAAACAAGTATTATGGCTTCTTTTTGGCAATTACTTGCCATCAATACAGTTCAAACAGGCTCTAGCTGACAGGGATGGGCTGATGCAGGGCTTTTGGTATTGCTAATCTGTTTCTGTGGGATATAAAGGTCCCAGTATATCCATGCCATGTTTTTAAGCATTTCTCTCTATTTCCCTGGGATGAAAGGACAGGAATTTCAAGATATTTCACCTGCAATGAGTTCCTGATTTTATTTTCAAACAATGATGCACCATTATCTGAAAGCAGGCTAACTGTTGTGCGCTTGCCAGCCTCGCTGTAATCCTTAAAGGCCACACACCACAGTCATTCTTAATCTGCTGCTGCAGCTACCAGTCATTCTGTGACAAAGCATCAAGAGATGGATAATGTAGTTACTCTGCTCTGTTCATCGCGTGGGGTGGGCTAAACAGGAATGAAGTCTGGGTAATGTACCAACATGCCAGATAGAAAGGCTCTTAACTCAGGGTTACTCATTTTTGGAGGGTGTAGAGACAGAAAATGTTAAAGCCTGCTTCTCCCAGGATTAAGGAGTTAGTGACTTTCAGATGCTCTGAAAATAAAAAGAAGAGGAGAAGACTGTCATATTTGCAGGCTTTAACAGGCATTCAGAAAGATTATGGTAGGGTAGTTTGTCTAAATTAAATCTATGTTTTACACACTGCAGAATGGAAATCTCAGAAATATCCTGAATTCAAATCATTTTTCTGCTGCAGGCAATTTTAGATTAGCTTCTTAAAACATACATGAATTGCAAGCAATGCTGCAGAAAAGAAAGAGAGAGAACACAGATGAGGCACATTCAACTTTAAATTCCTTTCAGATCCAACGAAATGGCCTCTGATGTTTGATCACATTTCCTTATCAAAACAATCCTGCAGCCCTTCCGTGAGAAAGCATCTGGGGATTGGAATCAAGAAGCTGCCCCTCTGGGCCTCTCCTGTTTCTTCCCAATGCGTTGTCACCAAGATATTTTTAGTTCATGAAACCCAGGCTATCCTTTCTCCAACTGTCTTTGCCTCCCGTGCCCAGCAGGCCTCCTAGGAGCATACATGTGCTTGGTTGTGACGACTCAGCTCATTCTGTAGCTGTGTGCGTGCCTTGTGTGTGTGTGTGCCTTGTGTGTTTGCCTCGTGTGTGTGCGCGTGCCTTGTGTGTGTGCATGTGCCTTGTGTGTGTGCGCGTGCCTTGTGTGTGTGTGCCTTGTGTATGTGCCTTGTGTGTGTGCCTTTGTGTGTGCGCGCCTTCTGTGCATGCGCGTGCCTTGTGTGTGCGCACGTGCCTTTGTGTGTGCCTTGTGTGTGTGCGCGTGCCTTGTGGGTGTGCACCTTGTGTGTGCCTGTGCCTTGTGTGTGTGCCTTGTGTGTGCGTGCCTTGTGTGTGCACGTGCCTTGTGTGTGTGCATGTGCGTTGTGTGTGTGTGCCTTGTGTGCGTACCTTGTGTGTGTGCATGTGCCTTGTGTGTGTATGCTCGTGCCTTGTGTGTGTGCATGTGCCTTGTGTGTGTGCGCGTGCCTTATGTGTGTGCCTTGTGTGTGTGTGCGCGTGCCTTGTATATGCACAGACCTTCCTGGATACCAGAAGTTGCAGACTAGCTGAAGCGGGGTGGGCTTCAATCCATGGGGTGATCCTTAGGGCTATGCCGGCTTGATTTGGTTCCCTGATAAGGCAGCTCAACTCAAGCCCTTTAGGAGGGCCAGGACTGACCAGAGCTCCCGGCCTGTGCCCCTCTCCTTGTACCCACAGACCTAACTGCCTGGGGTCTTGGCAGCTCCCCCAGCAATGAGGGATACTTGGCTCTCTGCTGCTTCATTGTTTTCCTGCAGTCAGGATGCCAATGTTTTTTCCCTTTTCCCTTCCCAGAGTCAACAGGTCTCCCTCCCAGCTCTGACCTCTCTTCCTACTCTGAGTTGCCTGTCCAAACTCTTCCTGGCCTTCCAGCTTACCCAGACTCTTGCCTTTCACTTGTATTCATTCTTTCCCTTCCCTTCCAACTGCCCCTTCTCATACCCAGCACTACATAAACATTACAAGTTAAATAAGTATCTCTCCTACACCAATAAAGGGCAAATACAAAAAAGTCTTTCAGCGTTTCCCCACTTTCCTTCTCTCCATTCTCCTTCCTTCCTTCCTACCCCTTCCTCTCCTTCACTCTGTGGCTGGGGCTGAATTAAGGATCACACATGTGTACTTAGAGAAACCATCTTATCTGAAGAAACAAAAAAACAATGACGACAGAGAAAAAAACAACATGGGCTGGTTTGTGGTTGTTCTCTAAATGTTTATTACAATTTCTAAAGGGACGGAGTCAGCGTGTTCCCATTAGTCCTTCTCCTCCTCGTTTAGTAGCTCAGAGGAGTCCAACAGCAAACTTCTCAAATCAGGTCAGTTCACACTGCACTGCCTTCGGCCTGATGTGAGTCTTACTGTGCTGGGTTATGTCCAAGGGCCAGTAAATGTTCCCTTCCTTCCAGGGCTCACCACTATTTCAAATCCTCTGGCAAGCCCAATGGAAGAACTTCTCTGTCTGGGAAATTCTGCAAGTAAATTTGGAAGTATTTGTTCACTGGAGTTTGAATCTGAGCTGAACAGTTCACTTAAAATCAACCTTCCGCTAAGCAAATCAGTGTTATGAAAGTTTGCATGCATCTGGGCAGTAAACAAAGGACATTAATGAGTTTAAAGATTTTTTTTTTAATCCATGACTTTTGGACACTTATTTAAAAGATTATTCTCCGGGGAATGAAGTGAGGCCTTGAGAATCTTATAATTGAGTTTCTGATCCAAAGTAGATCTTAGGATTCTCCCAGCTATAAATTTAAAGATGTCTTTTTTATGCCCACCTGAAATATTCATGCTGTGTGTCTCTAGGACTCTTCAAACCTATTCCTGACTCAAAGAAAGCCTGAGAAAAAAATCTAAGCTGTTGTGAACACCGAGGCCTGATTATGGAAGAGCTGATAATATGGTTTATTAATTACTCAGGCTGCTCACTCCTGCCCTTCCTGTGTTCCTTGCTGTGCTATTTGTCTTCTTCCGGGGACATAACACCTTCATTAAATCCCATCCGTCCTTGCCTTAGAGTTGTCCCCTGGAAGATAGGCCCCCTCTAGATGCATCACCATTTATCATCACCCTTTGTTGGTGCTCTGTCAACCAGTTTTCAATTTATTTTGAATTCAGTTTATGATTAAAATTTAATGAGATCCAATCAAGTGCTTTTCTGAAATCAAGATGCCTCTGCAGCCTCATCTGTATCCTCTATTGTCATGGCGTGAAGAAAAGCCATGGCAGATTTCCAGCCTGGCGATGCCGTACGGAACACAGGTGGCCTGCTTCCATGCCTCCTCAGTTTCAAGGTGAATGGCTCTGAGGCATATTTATTCCAGAATCTTCTAGGGGTTACGTGGCTTCCCCATCCCCCTTTTTTTCCTCCTAATAGCTGAACCAGTCTGTGCTCCCAACCGAGATGCAAGCAGTTAAGTGCACAGGCTCTGGTGCCAACCTGCTTAGATTTGAATCCCAGCTCTGCTACTTACTGGACGTGTGACCTTGGAAAAGTTACTTACCTTCTCTATGTCTCACTTTTCCCATCTGTAAAATGGGGCTGACGATAGTACCTATAAAATAGAGTGGCTGTGAGAATTAAGTAAGTTAATACATCTATCACACTTGTAACAGCATTTCCTACATAGTAACCGTTCAATAAATATTAACAATGATTGCTAACAAAGAGTAGTTTCTTAAGTATGTCAGTTTCATTAGGTTTGTATTTTGGCTTATCAGCCTATAATCTATATCAACAGTAAACTAAAACCCTAGAGCCAAAATTTACCATAACCTGTTTTTAGCACCAGCCTATTGCTCAGAATGGTTTTTATATGTTTAAACGATGTTTTTTCTTTTTCTTTTTTTTTTTTCTTTTTTTTTGAGACAGAGTCTTGCTCAGTCACCCAGCCTGGAGTGCAGTGGCGCGATCTTGATTCACTGCAACTTCCGCCTCCCGAGTTCAAGCGATTCTCCTGCCTCAGCCCCCTGAGTAGCTGGGACTATAGGCACATGCCACCACGCCTGCCTCATGTTTTATATTTTTAGTAGAGATGGGGTTTCATTGTGTTAGCCACGATGGTCTTGATCTCCTGACCTTGTGATCCACCCGCCTCGCCCTCCCAAAATGCTGGGATTACAGGCATGAGCCACTGAGGCTGGCTAAAAGATGTTTTCTATTTAAAAAAAAAAAAAAAAAAAGCAGAATACGAGGCAGACACAGCATGTGGCCTATAAAGCATAGACTATTTACTATCTGTCTCCTTTGCAGAAAAAGTTAGCCAACCCCTGGTTTATATGGTTTAATGGAAAGAGCTCGCAGATCTAAAGGCTTGATTTGGCTTCACCCATCACTTGTTAAGTGACTATGGGAAAGCTACTCTGTGTCTAAGCCTCTGTCAAACAGGAATGGCAAAGGGGTAACACTTACCCTGCTTATGGCCTAGGCTTGTTTTAAGAACCAAAGGAGATGATGTGTATCAAATGTGCCGGAAATGACCCATAAATACCCATGTTCGTTAAAAAGATACAGTCTCTATACATTAGCTTCATGGAATAGGATTAGCACCTGAGTGTAAAACCAGGGAATACTGCCTTTAAAAAGAGAGCTCCAAAGCCAGATAACAACTGCAGCTGTAGTTGCAGTAAAAAATTTAAAAAATAGCCATTGGTTTTTGAGAGCTTGATAGGGGGCAGGCTCTACATTCAGTACTTTATTTGAATCTACTCTTTATCCTCACAACACCGCTATGGAGAAGTGTTGCTATTTTCCCTATTTTGCAGATGAGAAAAGTGAGGCCCAGAGAAGTTCGGTAACTTTGTCAAGAACACAGATCTAATCATGCCACTAGCTGGCACAGGGAGAATTTAACCCTAGGGAGTCTGAACCCAGAGCCTGTGCATTTAAGTATTACGTACTTTCCCACACCCTGGAAATATGTGTTGATTTAGGGTAAGCTCATCTGGAAGGCAGAGCCACAGTTCACTGTAAATTTGGCCATTAGGTCTGTTCATGTGTGCCCTGGGACAGACTGGCTTCCACAAAGGCCAGGGTGGAGTCTGACGGACCTGAAGAAAGGGAGGCAGGCACGATGGGAGAAAAAGCTTTTTGATGAACTGTGAGATCAGAAGGGTAGCGCTGTGAAGACTAACGCTCTGTTTAAAAAACTAGTGAGTTAAGGAAGATTGTGCTAGAGGAGGAAAAGGTTGCTGGGAGCAGACATGAGCAGAGTTGGAGGCAGCTCAAGGGGGTTCACTGAGAGCTGTGTACAAAGAAAGAGGGTGAAGCATGGGCAAATCTGTCGCTGGGACACCAAGGGAGCATTGTCACATGGATGTCAGGGCTGCTGACATCTGGATGTGATATTATTTGTAAAACTAGGTGGCTCGGGGCAGAGTAGAGGAGCCCAGAGAAAGGTCTCAGGCCCAAGGAGGCAAAAAGGAGACAAAGCAAGGGACCTGGAGAAACTGACAGAGATTTGAGGAAAGATGCCAGTCAGATCTAAGAGCCAGAACCACAGCTCATAGTCCAAATGGTGATGAGAGTCCAGAGGTGAAAAGTTGTTGTCAGGCTGGGTGCGGTAGCTCACGGCTGTAATCCCAGCCCTTTGGAAGGCTGAGGCAGAAGGATTCCTTGAGCCCAGGAATTCGAGACCAGCCTGGGCAACATGGCGAGACTCCGTCATTACAATAAATAAGTAACTGGGCATGGTGATGCACACCTGTGGTCCCAGCAACGTGGGAGGCTAAGGTGGGAGGAATACCTGATCCCAGGAGGGCAAGGCGGCATTGAACCGTGATTACGCCACTGGGCAACAAAACCTAGTCTCAAAAAAAAAAAAAAAAAAGGAAAGAAAAGCTACTGTCGTCTTTGGGGTTTAGTTGTATGTCCCTGGAAATCAGCTCTGTCCCAGCTTGTGCCCACCCATGTGTACCCGAGGCACATGTTCTCATCCGCTGCTGAATGGATTTTTTATATTTGAAGAAATATGTTCACTCTCTCCTGGGTGGTCCCATGAGTTCCTCATTCGCATTGGTTCTTAATCTTTGTAAGCATCAGAATCACTAGCAGAGCCTTTCCTTTCCATTTTTTATCTTTTAAGTCTATATAAATGTACTTGTTACAAAACTTAAATGGTATAAAGTGTTCTGAAAAGCAAAGCTCTTTCCTACCCCATTCCCAGCCATCCAGTTCTTTTCCCAGAGGCAGCCACTGTTCCTCATTTCTTTTGAGATGGCAGACATACAACCTTATATCATATGAAGGATGGCATACCCTACACACTGTGCCACTCTTGAGTTTTTTAACTTAATAAATCTTAGAGATAGTTCCATTTGAGTTCACACAGCCCTTCCTCATTCTTTCTTAAAGGATGTGGAGTGCTTATTGTACAGATATACTACAGCTTTAAAAATCAGAACCTTTAGACATGGGCCATGTCCAGTGTTAGCTATTATGAACACTGCTGCATTGCCTGCCTTCATAGCCTCTTCATTTCACACAAGATGTACATATCCCAGCACTTCAGGAGGCCGAGGTGGGTGGATTGCAAGGTCAGGAATTCAAGACGAGCCTGGCCAAGATGGTGAAACCCCGTCTCTACTAAAAATACAAAAATTAGCCAGGCGTGGTGGCGGGTGCCTGTAATCCCAGCAGCTCAGGAGGCTGAGGCAGAGAATTGCTTGAACCTGGGAGGCAGAGGTTTCAGTGAGTGGAGATCGCGCCACTGC